AACGGGAGGATGAGTTTGGCGCCAGCCAAACTCATCCTCCGACTCTAATAAATTTCGCGACATTTCCAATATTTGTTAGCTGAACCAGAATAATTCAAATAATTTCCCGGGGGAAATTTCAAATAATTGCTCTCCACCAACATCAATGTTTGTAAGCCACAGAAGGAACTGTAGAAATGCCAGATTTGTTAACTGCTGGAATGCTTGTCAGCTTGGGCATTTGTTAGCCAATACTCAACAAATGCCCTGGATTCACTGCTACCTTTCCATATAGAAATGACTGAGGACAAATATTGAAAACAACAGTTTCAATATGTGTGTGGGCATCATTCCACACACATTGATAATGGAAACATTATTCAACTGTTTGGACAAATGCAGACATGTTCAGATTACTTTAGGACACATTTGGACTAAATTTGGATAACTTCATTGATGTGGAACTGATTTGGAGGGGAAATGGACAATTATCTGTTCACTGGGATGTTCCACCAAGAAAACCCAATTGACACCAGTGTTTTGCTGGAGCAAGAATACTTTGGGAAAACCCCATTGAAGGGTTTTCTTTTTCTTTTCTGACTTTGACTTCTCCACATCAAATAAAAACTTTATCAGAAAAAAACCAAAACTATTATGATACAGTAACATTTTCCCTCCATAATTATTATTTTAATTCATTGGATTTGTGCACAAGTTCATTCCTCCACCTTTAAAACATTCTTTTATCCATTTGTTTTTATGGTGTTCAATTTCTTGCTTCATTGTTGCTGAACAATAAATTACCAAAAAGAGATTGATTCAAAATAAGAATAACATGCTTTTCATCGTTTGCAATTATACAACAGATGAGTGCATAAAATGCTAAATAAAACCTTTTCCTGGGAGACCACCTGAACTTCTTAATTTTATTCATGCAGCCTTCTTCAGCCAGAATAATTGAATGAAGCAGAGAACACAGACCTTCAAACCTGCATTGGGTTTCCCTGTTTTATCATCAAAATCTTGACCAAGAAGAATTGGAATTGATTGTGAATTGTGATATCTCTTGGAATAATTCTTTCATAAAAAAATTGATAAATTTTATGGGAACACATAATTGAGGTGGATTCTCTTGAGTACATATGTTCCCAACTGCAAACTTTCTGATTGTCCCTCTTACAGTTGAACATCAATAACTCAAATCTCCCTTAATCAAATCTTTTTCTGAGTCAAGTTTGTTACAAGTTCCCATCCTTATTCCCATGTGAACAATGCATGACAAACCTTTCTAACTCAAAGTCTTCTCCTCTCAAACCTAGATATCTTGAATTTTCTGAAGCCTTTGGGCTGAGAGAAAAGTAATAAAAAGGATAACTTGATGTGTTTTGAAAATAAGTGAAAGACTGATTGTTCAAATACCCCTGCTTCTGAATTCAGCATCCTGCAAACTCATTTAAGAAGCAGTTCAAGGCCCAGAATATCACTGTTCAAAATTTCCTGCAATTTGTCTATGTTTCCTACAACCAAAGGGCTTCTTGCCCTGACTCAAAACCTCCTTAGTTGGAATTTTTGGCTGGTCCCTTGAAATTTGATTTAAGAGAGGTTGAATGAATGAACAAACAGAACACTTTATTTGCCGCTTTTCAGCGTTCACAAGGCACAACCAAGACTCCCTCATCCAAACCCCCTCCCCACCCAACCCAACTCCCCCCAAAGACATTCAATCACTTTAAAGCATGAAACAAAGGACAAACCAATGACAAAAACAAATGAGAGAACACACTCTGCAAAATAAAACTAGACATCCAACATGCATGCATCATACACCCACTCATCCAAATTTTTGATCTAATCTGTTTGCTAAACCAGGTTGCCTGTATATATTGAGAGAGGTTTGACTGCATTTATTTTCTCTGCACTTCACTTCATTCCTTTATGTTGGGATTGTCACCAATCCCAATAAGAACCAGATCCAACAAAAAGTACCAACAAGCTGTCAGCAAAGGAAAAACATGTTTGTTCAGGAATAGAAAAAATTAAATAAATCAAGCCAAGGCCTTTTTGCACACACACACAACCAAGGCCAGCACTATTCACAAAAGGGGGGGGGGGAGGAGGAAGCAGGAAGAAAACAGACTTCCGCCAATGCTGAGCAAGAATGCAACAAAATCTCTGGTGCGTCCAAGAATACCACCTCAACCTCGGGCTTATTTTAGTCGAAACGCAAAATTTTTTCCTACCTCACTTTTTTTTTAATATGTATACGCAAACACACGCACAGGTGACCTCGTTTTTTCCGCCCCCCCCCCCTGCAAAAACCTAGTAGGTCTCTTCCTGGTTTCTCATCGCCCCCTCTTGCTTTTTCAGGTCACCCACAATAATGCTGACCTTATCTGCGGTGAACAAGAGAAGGCTATTCATATTCGCTGCCAACAATAATTTACTTGAGTTTATTATTTTTTTTTAGCTGCAGAATATTTTTATTGGACTGCTGACTGCTGTAAATAAGGCCAGCAGGCACAATATGTTTTAAAAATGTATAATAAGAGAAACCTTAGGATTAGATTTGTGTAAGTTTGAGTTGGGTTCTCTGGTGCCTTCTTCAAGTTTTGTTTTCTGGAGATTTCTTTGAGTTGGGTTTCATTAAATTTTGGTCTTTTATTTGGAATTTTCTCTCTGTTCATTTTTCTATGAATTTCTTTTTATAGTTTGGTTCCTAAATGTTTTCTTTTACTTGGAGTTATCTTTCTGTTCATTTTTCCAAATGATTCTTTGAGTTTGGCAGTTTGATGGCCTCTGAGTATGTTTATTTTTATGCAGACTGAGTAAAGTATGTTCTTTTCTGAGCTTAATATTTTTGGAAGCTTTTTTTTGTTTTCAAAATGTTCATTAAGTTTGCTTGATGATTAAGTGATATCAGTACAAATTGGACTTTCCCAAATAAAAGCTACCTGTTGAATTCTTTCCATTTCTTTAAAGTTCAACGCAATTGAAACCTTCCTCACTTTTAGGCATTTTTGTTATTGGTTGGCGTTTATGTTTTAGAATGACTGTTTTTGCAGACCTAACCAAAGAAAATGCAAATTATATTCTTTAAGCCCATTAAGTATAACAAAGCAGTTTCCTGTAGATGTGTTGTATGTATGAGAAATGCAAAATTATGATGATTTGGCCAGAAAATAGATTCCTTTGATTAACTACCCCATATAAAGCTTTTTTTTCGGAATCTTCTTGCAATTTTTTGGTGTCGATTCAAATTTTATTTGGACAGGTTCAGTTTTATAAGAAAATGTCAGATATGAGTTTCAACCCAATTGATTTGAATCCAGCGTGAAGCCCTTACCAAATTAATTATTGCCTGAAAAATGCAGACTTTAGGGCTTCAAGAAAATAATTTTTATGTATATGAATATGTATGAGCATAATTAAAATTTGAAGCTTTTTGCACTGATATTTGTGATTTTCCTTCATATGCTTAAATCACAAGCGCAAAAATAATGCCCTTTTCAAAACCGACTTTACCCACTCATGAAAACCATACTGCATTCAAATATCAACTTCGAAATTTGTGCAACATCTTAAAGGCAAAAACCACCTGATGAATTCATCAATTTTATGATACATGTTGGGGAACCAGAACTCAGGCCCAGGGACATCAGGTCCCAGGACCTGGATTCTGGTCCCGTTTTCTTTTGTGCATTGGTTCACCAGATGCACTATACTTCTTCGATGCACATTTGTTCCACCAATGACAGGCGAGGAAAAAAATCCAATACTTCAGTCAGGTCAGCTGACTGAAGCATTGCGCTAAATTGCATAAAAACCCAGCACTCTTTCACTCCAAATAATCAGTCCTTAAAATTAGCTCTTACGGTAAACTTCCTCCAAACATTCCAACCCTAATTCTTCAGATTGAATTGTTGCATTGCATTATTGCACCCTAAATTTGTGTGCACGAATTCATTGTCTTCTTTGAATGTGTGTTGCATTATTGCATTTATTGTGATGTATCATTTTTGTATTGTGTTTGATTGTGATTTATTGTGGACTGTGATTAAACCAGACAAAACTAGGGATATGTAATTAAGGTACCCCCTTAAATACATATTCCCGGCTGCAAACCGGCTGATCGCCTTGCCTTATTATTTCCCACCTTTTCTTCCACTGCGCTATGGTTCAATTCTTTATGTTGGGTTGATTAATTTCTCAACAATACATCACAAATATTACCTGTAATAAATCTCAGTACTTGCATGGAAATCATCTCAGTTTGATACAAATTCATACAGGGTTTCACGCAGAAAATTCCGCAAAATGTCAAAAACATGCGCTTCCTTCTTCCTAGAATGAAAAAATTATCTTGAATTATTTCCCCTCTGATCTGTTTCAAAGAAACTAGAAAAGAATTTCTGAAAATGCGGCTCGAAATTTACCAAAGGTTTGTTTCTTTTTTTTTTTGCTTTTCAAACGATTTGAAAAATTTTGAGTTTCATGCTCACCTAAATTCAACAATAAATAACTCTATTTTTTGGGATAAAAAACTATTCGATTCTCATGATTATTTTGAGAATTGGTTCGAACTATAAAAACATACTCGAGATCAAAAGAAGGAATAAGATTGTTTTGTGCCAAAGTCACATCATCAATCACAGTTTCTCAAGTCACTCCACCTGGTTTAGCCAAACTGTACCAAAAGTCTGAGGCCGCAGAAAGCGAAGGCGGGCATTATTTATACTCGTTTGTGCGAACCAACTTTTGGCGCGCAGAAAAGAGAAGATGCACGAAATCAGTTGAAGAAAAAAACCACAAGAAACAAGTTTCGACAGAAAGAACTTTCCAGTTATAGACGAGTGGCCATTACCTTGGAGAATATCTGGAAAGTGATTCATCGGTTTCACCTGTCGTAGAATTTCGTGACTCAACTCGAGAAAAACTTTTCTTCTCTTTTTTTTTTAACCCGTCAATTTACATTTATTTCTTTCTCTCTGAGTCATTCGAGTTGGAAAATACGATGGATGGCATGCCAAAATTTCAGCAATTCCTCGCATATTTTATAAAAGGCGACCAACTGCTGAAATTTATTTCAGGATACAGTACAATGAATGAACCAATTCCCTGATAATTTTCAAATATTTTATTCGATGAACCTTGTTCAAGGAATGCATCTAATTCTGACCCAAATAAATGCTTCGGAGAATGATTTACTGAATTTAATGCGTTTTTGTGTCTTTTCTGCGAATGCTGTTCTGGGTGAAAAATAAAAAAATGTCTTCCGAAAATATTCTTCAGTTGAACCAAATCAAAAAATTCTATGAAGCAATAATTTAAATATTCGGGTGACACAATTTTCCAAATTGCTCTCATGCCAATTTTGAAGGCGAAAAAATTCTGGATTTTTGTCAAATAATATGAATGACTTCACTCCCAGAATGTTCAAATAATTTATTCCATGAACGCCTTTAAAAGAATGCATCTAACCCAAATAAATGTTTCGGATAATGACGTGCATATGAGGGTACAATTTAAAAAAAAAAGTTCCGCATATTGATCTTCATATGAATCAAATCAAGGCGAAATAAATGAAATGAAGGAATAAATAATGCACTGTTCCTGAAAAGACGGTAATTTTTTCCTTTCTAAAACCGAAGGTCAAAAATCATGAACTCAAGTAACTTTCTCAACAAAAACTTTCGCCAACGCAGGAATTATTTCTTCCAAAAAAATTTATTAGAAAAAAAATCATGCTTCAATGTATTTAGAATAAAGTACCCTATTCTCCTTCGTACACATTTCACACATTAATCCCAGGAATGAACTTTAGTAACTTTCTCAACAAAAACTTCTGTCAAGAGTGAAATACAGTCAACCCCCGTCTAACGGACTTGATTTGTGCAAGGGATGAGTCTGTTAGACAAAAAGTCCTTTACACAAATTCAATTNGTGCAAGGGATGAGTCTGTTAGACAAAAAGTCCTTTACACAAATTCAATTACATAAAAAATTAAAAATTTCAATTTTCAACACTAATTTTAAACCAAAAGAAGTCTGTTTGGCGGATTTTGTCTGTTGGGCGGGAGGAAAAACTGCTTGCAGAGCTGGTCTGTTTGGCAAAAATCCCTTACACAGGAGGTCTGTTAGGCGGGGGGCCACTGTAATGTATTAATAAAAAAAATCATGCTGCAATGTATAGAATAAAAGGATCATTTTTGTACACATTTCTCTCGCATTAATCCCAGGAAACGATTGTTTCGGAAATTACCCCAAATTTCCTTCCCGCATTTTACTCTGAATACATATGGAAGCAATTCCGGTCGACAAAGAGGAAGTAATTATACTGGGATTTTTCAAGGACTTTGTTGCTGTCGATCACATGTGTCGGGGAAAATTTCGTGTCAGTCTTCATCTGACTAAATTTCCCGACACATCAAACGACGAGGATTTTCATATTGAACATTCGCTGAATAAGTCTTTCGACATTTTGTGTGAGGGTAAAAAAAAAAAATTGGGACTTTGTCGATGGATATCATGAATTTCTTGAAATTATTTCTCAATGTCATCCTCATTTTTGGACTGTTGCTCGGGAAAGTTCGGTCAGTTCCGGTCCTGTTTCTGGTGAGTTTTTCAAATATTTGGAGACTTTCTTTTTAAAATAAACTCGATAGACACCGTTTTGAAATATTCAAAATGTAGTGATTGATTTAATGTGTTTATTTTTCCAGACAAATGACACAGATTTGCAACGCCTGATTTGCAGAGCATCCCAGAGCAACACTGAGTGCATCTCATGCTTACAAGTAAGTTGTTTTTGATTATGCTAATTTCGGATTCTTGAATGCATAAATAAAAACGAAGAATCAGTTCTGCATATTATTAATAAGGCGTCGTACCATATGAAAATGATGAAGAAACCCGTTCTTATTCGCTCAGATTTTTCGAAAAATTGCGCATACAATTTTCGATGATAAAATAATTTCGCTGAAGTTATGCTTTACTTCACCTGCTCATCACTGAAATCAATTTTTGTCTGATTTAAATTTTTTCCAAGTTGAGATGAAATCCTTTCAAATGATTCATGTGAAAAACTTTTAATTTCGGGTTGACAATCGAAGGAAAATTTTCCCTTGATTGTCAATTTAGAATTGCGTCTTCATTACCTAATGCAGGATAATACTTTGATTAATTTAAGGACCGAGATTTTTTGTCAATTTTCAAACGAAAGAAATAAAAACTAATATGATGATAACCTGCTTTATTCATTTTTATGAGATTGAAGTCGAGTATATTGGAGTTTTATGCTGTACTTCAAATCGCTGTTCCATTAAAAAAACACAGTGGAATTTTTGTCAAATGCTAAAATTTCCAGATTACTTCTATTTCACATGATCCTAATTTTTAATGGAGTTCATGTTGCTCTCAAGTAAAATTTGATTAAGACTGCAGTAGAATTTCGTTACAACGAAGCGTTTAGGAAGTTAAAAAAGGCTTCGTGAACCAATATATTGGTTGAAATTGATTTAAAATCCCACTGTGGCTATTGGACATGCAGGAACTGAAAAACTGAATCGCTTCAAGCATTACTGTAATTGGTTATAAGAATATTTTATTGCATCGAGAAATTCACCGAGTTTCCCGCTTTTTCAGTTGCTTTTATAAATGAATAAAAAATGATACCTTACGAGTATATTTAATGCTATATTCTGCCTTTTTAAATTTCGTGACAAAGACCACAATTCAAGCGATGGATGCTAGAAATTCCTGCAAATTTTTTCGATGGAATTTCCTTTAAGCTGAATTGAAAAAAAACGAGATGCTTTTACTGTATTTTTCATTTTTTCTCTTACAAAAATGTCAATTGCTCCACAATGAGAAATATTATTGAGTTGACTAATGCATCAGTATTACATATACATTATTTATTTACATAAACTGCTAATTTTATTGCAAAAATCTTGTAAATGCAAAAAATGAGAATATGTGGATTTACTTACTGTATTCAGGATGATTAGCGAATTTCAGATTTCTCAAATAGATGTGTAAATCAACGATCGATTATTTAATGTAATTTCACTGCTCCATATCAAAGTAATGCCGGAGTAAAACCAAGCAAAAAGGAATTGAGAATATATCCAAGAAATTCAATGCAGAAGGAAAATTGTGCAGTTGGGACAATTATCCAGCTAAAAGAATAAATTTTTACTCTGCAAGGCACCTAAAACAATCACTTCCATGAAGTAATTTTTGCCAAAGGGAATCTACAATATTGCAATGCGAAAATTAGGGACATTGCAGACTGGGATAATTCTCTGCCAAAAATCCATCAGGCAAGGCGCGTATATTATGACTGTGAAGGTGTGAAGGCAGCTGACTCGATGTGATGGAACGACATCTATTTCAGGCATTGGGAGCAGCGCCAAACTTTTTTGTTGGGGACTCGGCTTTGCAGCAAACCTTCTCCAATTCCAACAAACACCTCTAAAAGAAAGCCACGTAAAATTAGCAATCAATTTTGGCATAAAAATAAACTGAAAACTTAAATTAGGATAGTTTCAATTTTTTAAATGTTTCAATATATCTAAAGTTTATAGATATGGTGTGCACATCATCTCACATGGGTATACATTTTCATTCATATTTTGGAAAAAAATCATGCAAATGTCTCACTCTTGAGTCTTGATGGTACAGTATACTCAAGGAAAATTTGCTGTGACAACTCAAACAGCAAGAACTTGCACAAAGAAACCTGACATGCTGCAACAACTCACACAGTTGACAACTCAGCACCAACAACATTACTACTTTTTATTTCAGTTTCTTATATTTACAATATCCCTATTCTTATTTTCACCAGCCAATTTTGCATGAGTTCTTTTTGAAGAATTTGCAGATGAATTTTCTGTCTGAAACATGTTACCTTACATTCTTTTCACAAAATTAATGCGCAATTTGTGCCTTTTCTTCCTCAGTACTGGCTAGGAATTTTTCAAAAAACGTCAGAAACCACAAACTAGTGATCTGGAGCAGTGTTCAACAAATTATATTGATTTTTGATACTGTGAAACATTTCTCCAAGCCAACCTTTCTAATTGTTGAAGACAATCCACTATATATTTAGCCGCGTCATTGGTTCTTCACTCAATTTTTGCAAAAAAGGCAGACATTTTTTAAATACCTGCCAAAAAGTCTTTCAAAGAAAGCTTTCTGAGCTGGCAAAACAATTCTGAAACTGTGCCTGTCCACAGAAACTTTTTTGCAAATTTGCCAGTCTGCAAACATTTTTATTGAAATTTGCCAGTCTTTGGACCCAAAAAGGTAGCGAAACACTGATGCAGAGCATTACAAAACAATTTCACTGCTATACATTCAATTCCTGGTCCCTTATTGGTTATGTGCAAGAAAAGAGAACATATTGTATTTGTTTTCCTTACTAAAACTAACATTTGAGTTTTAGTGAGGAAATCAAATACGTTGACAAGAATTATTCATATTGCTATGTGTAAGGTTTTATAAGTAAGAATTAGATTAATCAAGCCTTACACCTTGATTGTAGCTTTTAGCAGAGTTTTCAGAATTTAGAGTTTTCAAATTGGAGGATAANAAACCTCTTTCCTCAGTTGGTCTTTGACCTGCAGTTGTTCCAGATCTCATTCTTAGTGTTGCTCTTTTCTTTTGCCAAAGCCGGCAGAAAGGGACAGAATTTTTCGTAAGGAAGGTGTTTGGAAACTCAGTTACCGGTCGGGAGATTGTACTTGGTTTCTTCCGATCAGTAGTTGAGTTGCTGAAAACCTCCTTTTTTTTTGGTGAATTGTCGGAATTGGAAGAGGTCTTCCGACTCCTTTTCTTCAGACCACATTTGGTGTTTCTTGCTTGGTGGCCGAGGGGAATATCCTTGTGTTTTTAGTCGAGGGTATCCGCCACGTCTGTCATGTAAGGACCTCAGGAGGTGGTAAAGAAGAATTTGGATATATTCTTATTAGTGTGCCAATTCTGGCGGTTTTTTCGTCGGAGAAATGCACGTTTGTCGTACGGTGGGATCTCGGAGCTGTTCTCTACTGAGTCCCACTTCACGTCGTTTGTGAAATTTTTACCGGAAAGATCGTCGGAGTTTTTCGGTTTTTGATAAGGACAAGGATCCAGAATGTTAGTGTTTTTTCCCGATTTTGGGGTTTTCTCTTGTAACTGCATTCAGTATTGAAGAGGGCTGCAGGGCCGGGTACCCTAGTTTTGGTTCTCTTGAGTAACCGCCGCCACCGCGGCTATCTTCAGTATTGAAGATTCGGCGAAAGCTTTTTATGATTCTCATTTTGGATTCTAAAGTGTGCCAAAGTTGGCAGTGGTTGTGTTCGATATTGAGGAGGGCTGCGGGAATGGGTACCCTAGTTTTGGTTCTCTTGGGTAACCGTCTCCTCCGCGGCTATCTTCGGTTTTGGAGCTTCAACAAAGAGTTTTCATACAAAGTCCCAAGTTTTCTTCCACTGCCAGAGATCTGCTATCAGTTAGCTACTGACCCAGTTTACCACAATGCGGCAAACCGGGTGCCTATCTGCTTCTGGGTCCCTGCGCTGCTTGTTGCTGCGTGACATGCCTGAGTGAGGATGCTGCGCTTGGGTCACACCGGGTGGACGCGACCCCACAGATGGTAATTGTGGAAATTAGTACAGAATATTTGGTGCTTCTTCAGAGAGGATGACTTCGGAAATTTGGAATTGCAAAGTCTTAATTTTTAGTTAATGTGATGAATTGAGTGATTACTTTATTTGGGCGTGTTTAGAAGCATTTCTAGAACGCCATTAAGAACAGTAAGATTTGATACGCATATTTATATTTTGACTGCAATGACATCACGGATATAATGATTCCTTTTTTTTTTAATCGCAAATAAAAACAACAACGCCGATTTTTTCGCGACATGTCTCTCAAAAATTATATCACTTGTTTCAATTAAATAAAAATTGCTCTTCTTCTTGGACAGCGCCTCAAATTAATTTATATATTTATATTAATTAATTTATTTATTTATATTAATTTATATATTTATATACAGTATTCGATTTCGAAAATTCGATTTCCGAATTTTTGTGAGTGATATTACATTGTATTTTTATAACATGTTATGAAATATAATTATTTTAATTCGTTTTAGTACATAATCATGAGTTTTATGTGTTTCCCATAGTCACAAAATAGTGTCCATCAGCTTTTGTTTTGTGAAGGTTTTCTTAATGAAATGGAAACCCTTTTCTCATTTTTCGAATTGCGTTCGTAGATTTTTTTCGGATATGGTGGAATGTTGCAATCGGACAGACAAAAAAAAAACGAAAGCCAAAGCCTTGAATTCACTCTTTTCGGAAGTCCTGAAATTAACTGCTTTTATAGGCCGGAAATTCAAGGATAATTTCACGTTTTTGTCCCGTCCTCGACCTGGACTCGGGAAAAAATGTGTTCGGTCATTTCATTATTCGTTTTTCTCCCCTGAATGACGAAATCCAAGGTTAAAAGTGGCTGAATATCGTTCGGAAAAACAAGCGATTAAGAGACTAAACTTTGAACAACCGCGGGCAGATTCGGACGCGTTTGCAATTTTTCCCGCAATTTTTATTTTCATTTGAAAGAATTTGACGGGGATTTGAGACTTTCAAAACTTGGCGGAAAATGACGAGCAAGGGAAGGATTGTCGTCCTCATTTTCGCGAATTTTTTCGCGGATTTCATCGCAGCTGCTCCTGTAACTTACTGGGTGAGTTTAAAAAAAAAATGGCACGCACGATTTTTGGCGATAATTTTCATAATTTTTTTTTGGCTTTCTCTGTGTCGAATAAGACGAATGACGCGAATCTGCAGAACCTCGTTTGCCGAAGTGCTAGTAATTACAACAACTGTGTTCAGTGTGTTTCGGTGAGTTGAAAAGGTTTCACATTTTTTTTTCAATTATTTTATTATAAAACCGTGGTAATTTTTTCGGAAAATGTTCAGGCTTTGGGAGCTGCGCCAAATTTTTTCGTGGGAGATTCGGCAGTTCAGCAAACTTGGATGGATGGTTTGGCGCAATGTATTGCCAGGCTTCTGCCGACTTCGCATTTGAAATGCGTGAATACGCTGATTTCAGTCAGCAGCACTGTGAGACTTTTTTGCGTTTACTAAAAAACTTATTGACTAGGATGGCTCAGGAAATAATGCTAGACTCACATTGTGTCTTCTCTCAATTTTTGGAAGAACTTTTGGGGGTTCATCAAGATTTGTGGAGCCATCAAAAGGAGTTGAAAATTGCCAATAAATGAAGTGAATTAGTTTTTAATTCCGGAAATGATAATTATTCACATTGATGGGAGACGAGAAATTTTTTTTGGTTATCTGAAGTATTCTAAAGACATAAAGACGCATGTTTCTTTTTTTTTTTTTTTTGGTGGACCAGGAAAGAATTTTAGCACAGCTGTAAAAGGTAATGTGTCATGATGTGTCTTACATATTATTTTAAGATGCTGCTAAACAACTTGAACTATTGGATTGCATGTTGTTGTTTATTTTGCATTTTTATTTGGCAATAAAAGAATTTCGGTTTTACTAAAATGTTGTCAATAAAGGCACAACTTGGTTTTGTGGGACAAGTCCAAAAATCATAAGATAAAACGAGCAAGAGAAATATTATACCAATGCCTGATTTTTGCTCCAAAGTGCATCAAACACTGTTACTAATCCCAAAAAGTGCCAGAAATTTTACCAGCACAATTCCTAAATTTTATATTTAGACATGAAAAAGATGCTATATTTATTTAATGCCATGAAAAGGCTATTGCTGGATTTATTCTGATACAGATGGCACTTTGCAATTTGACCTCACATAATTCAGCCATCCTGCAATTCAACTGTCCTGTTGTTTGACCATCCCACAATTCAATGGTCAAATTTGCTGGGAGGTTGACTTGCAATTTGACCCTTACCCCACAATTTGACCTGCTTTGACCACTTTCTTTATTTTTACTTTCAAATTTCACAATAAAGTGTCTTGCAATTTGATCCTATAGTTCAGTAATGGATTAAGGTAATATTGCGAGTTACACCCTGTATTATTTCATCTAGAAACTAATATACAGTATAACTCTGTTTTATTCCTGTAGTTAAGTAACATTTGGTGCCTCTTTAATTTTTCTGCTAATCAGTTCTGTAAAGCTGTTATATTGTGAAAGGAAGGAATAAATAAGTGTGATCAAGGACAAAATAATTTATGACAAAAAATAATTATAGATGTATTAATTTGTCATTCTTCCGATAAAAGTTGTGTTGCATAATTATCTTTTGTTATACTACAGTACCGAATGTCATTTTTTTGTTTTTCTTGAAAGCTCCAGGAATTTTCGCTTTCATTTCCCAAATAAAAGAAAAAACTTGTTGGACGAATAATATGTTTCCCGGGATTTTTCCATCTTCCCGTTGTATATCACTATTAAATTCAGCAGTCACCACAATAATCTTCGAAGAAATCGCAGAAAATATCACAAAGAACTGGAGGCTTTCCTTTTTTTATAAATATTTCACAACAGATTAGATTCAAGCGAATATTTCGCGCATTTTTTTTTAATTGCTTTTTTTTTTCTTGGTCTGAAGGACCGAAACTCTGGTTAAAATTGCGCATTGCTCGTCAGTCAATCATTGTAAAAATCTAGAAAAAATTGAATTTTATTCATATTTGAATGAACTGATTTAAAAAAAAACATTCTTTACAAAAAGGTGACAGATTCGAACGGTCAGCAAGTGACAACAGGAACAGTAGCAAGCACAGGGATTTTCGGTCTTATCCGAAGCATCATTTCTACTCTGAACGTGTTTGAATCTCGCTGGCTTCGGATGATTCAAGCAGAAAATTGCATCATTCTCGCAAACGTCGGACTTTCCTGATTCAAATTATCGACTATTTGAAAATCCAAATGCCTAAATTATTACAAAAAATCATCCCTGTATTAATTTCTGACATGAATAAATTTTTTTGAACAACTCTACTCGTCATCATTTTTTCAAAACTCGGGAGCTTTTTCTTCGTCGAAAAACATATTTTGTATATCAGATAAATTCACAAAGTTTTAAACAAAAATCGATCATGATATTTCAAAATGAAAATCGTGGAATAAAAATGATGAAAAAAGTGACAAACAAGCAAAACATGGGGTAATTTCTCGGCTGAACGCATATGACTTCCGAAGGACGTTTTTAAATGACTGCAGACCTTCAAATAATTTTTATTACAACTTATGCCCAGCCATTAAATGATTTTGACAACGTCATTTCCGGCATTAAACCCTGTCAAACTTGACCGCATAGTTTAATGCGGCATTCATGTAAAAACAAGCAAAGAGTTCACGTCGAACTTGAGCTTATTTTTCTGAAAGAAATAAACACAGAAATTGAGAACGGAAACAAAATTTAGAATGCGTAAATTGAAGCATTCAGTTTTGTTTTTGGTCGCAGTTTTAAGTGACCATGGACTTTTTCGCTTCTGTGTCCAAGGAGCACCAGTGACATATTGGGTGAGTATTTCAATGGATATTGTTTTCTGCAAATTTTATGAATTTTTCATCACGGTTTGTTGTCGAAAATTGCAGACAAATGATGCGAATTTGCAGAACCTGGTTTGCAGGGCAGCGAGTAACGTCAACAACTGCAACAACTGCTTGACTGTGAGCGTTTTTATTAAAATTCGCGAATTTTAAAAATATAGAGAGAACAAAATAATGCATTTTTAAACATTTTTTAATTTTTGGAAATTAAATTGCAATTGTTAATTGAACCGAATAATGAGTCACCAAAAATTGTTTCATCACACGACTGGAGTAAAAATATTTCTTGCTTTACATTTCCTTTTCGAATAATTTTTGCATATTCATAATTAGGATGGATATCGTGAACCTAGGAAAAGTATGCAAATTTTCAAACTATGATTTCGTTTTATGTGTTTTTGCCGTTCTATGTATAGTAAGTAACATGCAAAAATTTCAACATTTGTACCAATGCTGTTCTGAGAAATTTAATTAAAAATAAAATGCATTGTTAATCGAATAAAGCCAAGCATAACTAGGACACTTGTCAAACTGGAACTTCTTCACTTCGAACGCAGGCTTCAATTTTTTGCACATTTGTTTTAAATATTGTTTATTTTCGTTTTCTTGGAAATTGTATAGGCTGGTAATAATGTCATTATTGAATAAAAATATTTTACCTAATTATAAATTAAGGCAGAATAAAATTCATTTTATTATTTTTTAATGTGCTAAACTTTTATGCGGATCAAGACGTTGTTTTATTTCTGGGACACCGTATATAGTTGTCTTCGAGATTACTCAATAATACAAATGAAATTAATTTCATTAAAAGAAGAATTATATGGATGAGGTGCACGCGTTTAGTTTGAATTTATTTTGCATTGCGTGAATTTGAAAGGATGATTTCATTTCGAAATAACTTCGAAAATCAGATGAATACGGGTTTTCAAATTAAATGAGATTAATTTTCGTTTCTGAATGAAAAATTTGAATATTTTTGAGAGGTACGAAAGTTGAGAGTCCAGCACGTCTAAACATTTTTTGTGTGCTTATCTTTCAGAAAACAGCACAAAAAGCGAATACGGTATTCGGTTTTTTGTGAGAGGTTAATTTTCCGTAAATTTGAAGGAAAACAAAACAGAAAATTTGATGGTTTTTTTGTGTGATTTCATTGATCTTTTGCTTCCTACTTTTTTCAAAAATTTTTCGCAGACACTGGGAGCAATGCCAAATTTTTTTGTGGGAGATTCTGCAGTTCAGCAGACTTGGATGGACGGTTTGGCACAATGCATTGCGCAATTTCTCCCATCTTCGCACTTGAAGTGCGTCAATACTCTCATATCTGCTTCAACCACAGTCAGTATTTTTATGACGAAAATTCGATTTTTTCTCCTCCATTTTGCCTCAATAAATTCGTAATATTATCTCTGAAAAGTCCTCAATATTGAAAAAAAAATTATCCAGTGAATTATTGAAACTCGCAGTTCCATATTAAAGCTAATAATAGTCGCATTTTTCGTTATTCAAAAACTTGAACTGGAACGAAACCAGTTGTATTTTTAAAAAAATGAGCATAACATATTGGAATGCTGTAAAAATGACGAAATAATGTCAGGATCATGAGCAGTACAGTATTTCCTTCCTTATTGCAATCAAATGGTGTCCCTTGAATATCTTCATGTTTTATCGATTTTTCCCCCGTCTTGATATCGTGACAGGTGACGACATCTGACGGCCAGCAAGTGAGAACAGGCACAGTTGCCAGCAACGGAATTTTCGGTCTGATTCGAAGCATCATTTCGACCTTGAATGTCCTGGACTTCCGCTGGGTCAAGATGATTCAAGCCCAAAACTGCATCATCCTGGCAAACATCGGCCTCTCTTGAATAAGAAACTCAATTTCTTCCAGAAAAAAAATCCATTTTATAAACGCATGATTGAAAAAAAATATACAGTATATCAGCAGACTCTCGGGAATAAAATGCTGGGACTGTCTCAAAAGTTCTGTTCGGATATTTTGAAATGAACTCATTTGAGTAAAATTATGTTTTCCAACCCATCTGCAATTCTTAATTTTCTGAGGATCAATTTTGAGTGTGTATCACTTCTGATGAAAATGGCGAATATATGCGAGGGTATGTTCAAAATACTTTCAAGAAATTTCCTCAATTCTTGAAGTCTTGTTTAAGAGATATGGGTGGAAATATTTTAAAAACATAAATTTATAATCAATTTCTGATCAACATTGTAGAAAAAGAAAAATTACAGTTGATTGAATATGATCACTGCGTGAAGCAGATTTTGTTGTTTTTCTTGCATATTTCAAATATGTTTGACATTCAAAAATGAAATCAGTGAAATATTATTTACAAGAATTTTTATATCTGACAGCTATGTTCCTTTAAAAAAATAATAATGGCAGGAATTTTTGTCAAGGTAATTATTCAAAAACCCCACACCCATGTGTAGGTGCAGACATGGATTTTTCAGGGTAAAATTTGCATGAATGAATGGATAAACAGAAAAACTTTATTTGCCGCTTTTCAGCGTTCACAAGGCACAATAACTAAGACTCCGGCATCCAAACCCCCTCCCCACCAAACTCAACTCCCCCCAAAGACATTCAATCACTTCAAATCATGAAACAAAGCACAAACCAATGACAAAAACAGAAGAGAACACACTCTCCAAAAAATAAAATAAAACTGGACATCCTGCATAAATCAATATGTTGGGTTTTATGCAAAAATTTGTATAAAACCCATTTCCAGACCCCATAAGTAAGATGTGGAACCCGTTTTTAGTGACTGAAAACTGCAACATTTCTAAAATAAAACACACCAGCATTTGAATTTTGACTCATCAAATTCAACCTGAATCAAATAAATTTTCAATTGTCTCCACTGCATGTTTAAAATTTTTTGGAAAGGGTCGATGTTTTCACTTAAGAATCAAGCACCCATGCACACTGACATTTGGATTTCAAAAACTGTGAAAAATATAGTACAGTGCAGTATTGTACTTGCTTGTGGTGTGATCACTTTGCCTTTTTCCTTTAAATTCTGAATATACTTGAGCAAATGCTGTTGTGACAGGATAAGGTTTGATTCCTTTTTAAAATAAAGAATACAGCAATCAGCCAGACTATGGCCAGGTTGCTTGAGACCATAGTGTATAGTTGGCATATTTGAAAAACGCAAGGATTTTGAAGCAATCAATTGCAAATGAGAGTTTAACGTCTTTTGCGTGAGACTGCCAAAAAGTGACTAATGATCAAATGGAAGGGAAATCAGCATTTGAAATGCTTTCCTAGGGAAATTTTGTCTCTGAGGACTGAATTATCCCAGGAAATCCCAAGAATATAGGAAAACGCTTGTACAGTATAAGAACTTGAGGTCAAACTTGGTCCCATGAAATTCCTAACAGATTAAATTTCTTTCAACAGTCTAACAATCCATCCTCCTTTGAAGTTGCATCTCTAAATTCAGACTTGAACTTATTCACTTTTTTCTAATTTCCAACAGATGCAGTACAGTGAGACCCGCACATGAGGACGCCTCAACATGAGGACAATTCAACATGAGGACATTTATTTTTCAACAAAAAAATCATAAAAAAGACCCAACATGAGGACACTGACTCAACCTGGGGACATTGCAGGATAAAATTCCAAAATAAATTTTAGGAAAATCAATTTTTATAA